CTCAACAACTATACGTCCAAAATGTACCAAATATCATATTATGCAAATACCTCAAGAGAGCTACGCTGGGATGTATGTTTAACTTCAATATCTATTCTGTGATTATCCACAGCATACCCCTCTTCTCGAGTGCTATAACAGCTTCTTCTTATAGAGCAACACCGTACGCACCCAAAAAGCTATAATGCCACAAAATTTTGTAGTATTTCAGCTAACTGGACGACTTAATTGTTTCAGTAACTTTTCGGATTCGGTCTATAACTACAGGAACATCCTCTGGAGTCAAAGTAGTAAAACAACATCTGAACCATCCTGGTTCTATGCAGTGGCAGGCTGACCCAGGAGTCACATTGATCTTGGCAATGTTCAACAGCTTATCCCATAACTCGAGTTCCCCTTTCTCACCATAAGAGCGAATTAATCCACTCATATCAGCCCAACAGTATAAGCCAGCACTGCTCTTTGCACACTTGATTCCTAATTGTTGCAAACCAGCCACAAATAATTCATATATATTTTGTATCCTCCTTTTGTTGATCTCTAGGTATTCCTGAATGAATCTTGCATCTGAGAGCATCGAAATAATAAGCCGCTGGGTCAGAGAAGAAATGGGAGAAAATCTTGTTAACCTTTTAGCAGCAGTCAAAACACTCTCATTATAAGAATATAAAACCCCAATCCTAAACCCTGGAATAGATAGGTCTTTTGATAGCCCATATATTATGTGAACCCTGTTCTTGTCAAAATCTTCAGTGTCAATAATTTCTGCCATGCTTACAAACTCCTCACTTCCATACATAGACCCAGCAAATATTTCATCAGAAATGATATGGATGTTCTTCTCTTGGGCAAAGTCTAAAAGACTGCACAGTGTTTCCCGTGAAAGTAAATTACCAACGGGATTTGAAGGGTTAGAAATGAGAACTCCCTGCACTTTTACTCCTCGTTTTCTAGCCTGATTGTATGCTTGTTCAAGAACAGTTATATTTAAAGCGAAGTTGTCAGTGCTGCGACAGTGAACGGGAATCAGCTCCACTCCTGCTCGCCATCTTATATCCCTGTGAAAACTGCAGATTGTTTTTCTAATTAACTACCACAGAAGATTTGTTAACATGATTATGACAATAAAATTGAATTTTCTCCATTAATTAGAACAAGTAGTTCTAGCAATATAAAGTTTCAACATGAGAATGACAAATATTACCCAGGATAATAAGGTGTAGGAACGAGAAATGCATTTCCATGGTCTGCTAAGCAGAAGCTTAATATCTCAACTGCAGGGGTTGCACCAGATGTTAACACTATTTGTGACGGGTCAAATGACACTGATTTTCGCATAACCTGAGACATGAAACTTGCCATAGCCTGCAAAGTCGAAACAAAACAAAAAAGAAAAACAAACATTAGAAACACTGCAATTCTTCAGAAATACAAGACACAATTACAATTGCAACACAGATTGTAAATTAACCAACTGAACTTAAATCAAAAGAGAGATTATAGCGTATTATGGTTTATCATAAAATTTGACTAAATCATCCAAAAATGTTATAGAGATTAGAAAAAGCCATACCACTTTCAGCTCAGTCATTCCATCGAACGGCTGGTACGCCGCAATCCCACTTATGCTCAAATCACCACCGTCGTCTCCGAAAATTGATTGCGTCAAATTCTCCGTAATCCATTTCTCAATCAAATCCAAACACAGCTACAACCACACACACATACAGAAAACAAAAACAAAAAAGAAACAAAATTTATATAAAACTCCATTCTGAAAGCATAAATTAGTATAACAACCAAGAACACACAAGCAAACAAAACTCTCACCCTGTTCTCGGACAACCCGAGCTGAATAACCCCATTCGGATTGTCCACCCTATCGTACGGGTCCTCCAAAACCCTATCCAACCCGATATAATACGGGGAGTCGTTTGGCTTCGCAATCCAACTCGCCCGGGAGGATACCTGTACTCGGCCCATGGATCCACGGGTGGACAAGTTGGACCGCGACAAGGTTCTCTGGAGCTCGGCGAGGTTCGAGGAGGAGTGGGACGGGGAAGGAGGGTTGGATGGGGGTTTGGAGGGACGGTGTCGTTTTAGGTAGAGCTGGAGGAAGTAGAAGAGAGCACAGGGGATAAGAGAGCCGAGGATAAGGCCACCTCTGCCTTGGACGACGCCTTGGAGTGGAACTATCAGTCTCATTGCGGTGGCTCCGGCGGGCTTCTTTTGGGTCGGGTAGGCGTCGGGTTCGCGGGGTTGGGTCATGGGCTACGGCGTTGGCCGTTGGTTGGTGTGGTTTGGTTACTTGGAGGGAGTAAGCAGCGAAGGAAGAAGTGTGTTTTGCTTCCAGAAACTTTGGTTTGTTTATCATTGCATTGGCACCTGGCAGGTGTGTGAGTTTTACTAGAATACCCTCGTCAATTAATTAATGATATTAGAAAGGAATTAGACATTTCATTTTTTTAGGCTGATAGCAAAATTCAATTCATATTCGATTGAATTTCAGATTAGGTTGATAGCTAATTTCAGAAATTCAAATTAATTGGGTTAGATGGTTTGATGTTGTTGAACTGTACATACATTGATCATAAGTTCATAACCATCAACTTTTGGTATTTTTGCTTTGAATTGTTGTTAGCTATGTTGCAATAGTTTTGTATATAAATCTTAGATGGACATTAAGTACAATATGAAATTGATCCTTTAGTTGGTGTATTTTTATTTCATTCATGGTATATGTTGGGATTGAACCGATTTGATCTAGTTATAATTGAATCGGATTGAATTGAATCTACGTACTTAATTGGATCGAATTAGGTTATCAATTCTAATTGAATTGAATGCAGATCCTTCAAAATAGGTTGGATTGGAATCGATGCACACCCCTAATTTTTATAGTAGAGATGTAATTTTGTGTTACTACAGAACATTTAATTTCATTAAACTATATTCATATATACAATGTCCTACATGGTTATTATGTGATTAATTATTGAAGGGGGTGGAATAATTTTTCAATTGGCAGGGGTTCATGGCAGCCTACCACATATAAATGGTGGTAGTTTGTTTGTTTGTTAGTTTTGAAAGGAGAGTTGGTTGGGTGTTCATGGAAAACCAGAGGCAACATGTTGGCTTTCTTAAGGCTGAGTCTTATCCTAGTTGGTGAAAATGGTTGGCTGGTCTTAGTCGCTGACAACAAGTCTCATGAATTAATTAGTCAATGGAATGGATGAGCCAAAACGCGGCCTTATCACACCACTTTCAATAAGCATGTTCATTGTCAAATTGAACGTTATGCTATTATTTCAACAAAGCCAAAAGATAAGGTTGAAATTTTATTGGGTTAAGACTTAAAGTCGTCTGCAACCTAACAAAAAATATGCAAAGAGAACACTGTAAACTGTTCATATAAGCCTATATAGAGCACAAATAGTACAGATAGTTTGTGCATGTGTGGTTACAGAGCAAATTCAGTTGCCGTTGGGTTTTGGCAGGATTTGATACTACCCAATAAGATATGGCAGAGTCAGTTGTATGCTTTGTGATCGAGAAACTAGTTTCACATTGCTGCGAATAACCCTATATATAAAAAAAAAAATGACATCCTTGCGACCGGGTCAACATACGTATAGCCGTTCGGCTATACTATTTTTATTAAAATCAGAAAAAACTAGTATAGCCGATCGGCTATACTATTTATATATATATAATAAAAAAAAAAGATGACCCTCCTAGCGATTAGGTGCCCACGTGTCAAAATCAATATAGCCGTGCGGCTATACTATTTTTAAAAAATCAGAAAAAACCCAGTATTGCCGGGCGGATATATATATATGGATTATTCGCAGCAATGGTCCCTCAACTATACCCCAAGTTACACTTTGGTCACTCAACTCAAATATTAGTTGCAAATGTAACTCAATTAGGTGTTTTGTTGCACCGTTAGTCCTACCGTCAAGTCTCTCTAACGGTAGGGACTAATGGTGCAACACAATACCTAATTGAGTGACCAAAATGCAACTTCGAGTATAGTTGAGGGACCATTGCTGCGAATAACCCTATATATATATGTGGGAGCAAATTTCCTCCCACGGGAATATTCGCCTAAAGATTCCTTCGTCTTCCTCGCCTCTCTTTCTCCCTGCAAAACGAATAACA